TATCTAGAGCAATGCAATAAGTAATTAATAAACTTCTTGTGGTTTAGAATACCAAAAATGCACAGGAAGTTATCAATGGAAAGAAGGAAAGGTGAAAATAATGCTGTAAAGGACAACTTCCAGAAGGGGCTGCCTGTTAAACATAAAGTTAGAATCTCCTTGAAGTAGGACATCTATGTGTGATTTGTATATGGGTGAGAAGATAGAAAAGCACCATCTCTCACATAATTGCTATAGTTCACAGAAAGTTGGTAGACATTAGGTGAGTGTGGTGTCACATGCCTGTAATCCCAGCACTCAGGAGGCTGAGGCAGGAGTGTTGGGTGTTCAGGTTCAGCCTAGGCTACCTAATGCGTTTTAAGTCCAGTCTGAGCTACAAGCCAACATTTTATCTCTAAACAAAAAGACATACTGAATAAGGTAGGACAATGAGTAAAAGAAGTATTGGCACCAGGTGGAAAGTACCAAGTCTGGGTCTGCAGGCATGCTAATAATTAGGTATAAAATGGTGTTCTGTATAGCGAGGAGCAAAGGGGAGTCACACCATGTGGGAAAAGCAAGGGATGATGGGAGGTAGCAAAAATCCACTCCTGACCTAGTAATTTTCCTCTGAAAATATTCTTAGTGTAGAATTAAAGAATGGGTTCTGTGCTGGCTCAATTCGAAAGTGGCTCAAAGTCAGAGGCTTCATAGAAAGATAGGAATTAGATGGGCAAGGTGGTGCACACCTGTAATTCCAATACACAGGAGGCTGAGGCAGAAGGATCGCCATGGGTTTGAGGCTAGCCTGGGCTACATAGTGAATTCAAAGCCAGCCTGAACTACAAAATGAGACCCTTTCTCAAAAAAGAAAGAAAGAAAGAGGGGGGGGGATTTACATGAAGTTATATAAATAGTTCTTTTGTTACTGCTAACTAAATGATTATTTTTGCGGCATAACTGGAATTTTTGTCTGTTGGTAACTTTAAAATTGGTTGGGCAACCTTACTTAGGTGTAATGGGGAGTGTGTTTCACAGGAATAGAAATGATTACACGATTTATTTTATGGCAGTAGGGATTTGGCCCAGGACCTTCACTCTGAGGAACGTTGAGCCCTTTTACATTTTTGGATATCAATATTTTGATAGCCCAGGATGAACTTGAAGCTCTTACCCTCTTTCCTCAGCCTCCCAGAGTGATGTGATCACAGGTGTGGATCACAACTATATACCGTGATCACAGTGTTGGTTAAATCAAGCATTAACCGATTATTTTTATGTCAGAAATGTCATTTTTGCCATTGTGAATATATGAGGGCCAATCTGAAAGTCTTCCCCTAGTTAAGTGTCTGAGAATTTGGGATTAGTTGTGTGTGTAGTATGATTTTTTTTATTGGAGGAAAGAATCTAAGACTACCATAATTTTTCAAAAAGTGCATATGTCCAGCCCTTTTTATCATAAGCCACTTTGAAGCAGCATATTCATTTCTCTAAATGGGGTGACTCAGTGTGCTAGCCCTTGATAAATTTTGGTCATTCTGAGTGGTATCTTCATTTGGGTCCCACCATTTTTTGTTGGAGAATTGTTTAGAGCTTAGCAAACAATACACATTTGAATTCAAAAGAAAAATTTGGAAAAGACAAAGGTCAAACATTATCTGATTATAGATGTTGGTCTCTGCTCAGAATTGAGACCAATAAGTGAGTTTCATGGAAATTGCAAAGAAAAATATTTTCAGGGTTTTTGTATAATTATTCTTCATAAGTACTGATATGTGAATCAAGGGCAAAGTGCTTTCTCATCCATTCCACTAGTCATGAGGTTCAGGATTTTTGAAGTTTACTTAAAGGGAATCACATTTCTCTCCAAGAATAATAGCACAGTGTTTTCTCTGAACATTGGAAAGAAATCACTGGTCTGTGTATTTTGGTAAACTCCAAAGTAAAGGATATGAGTCTACAGTGTGTCACTTGATTTTCATTCTTGTGTAACTACTTTCTTACTGTGTTCTTCCATACTTCCATTTTCTTTAGTGATTCTTAAAACAGATTTTGTTCTTGTTTCCTATTCAGTGTTTTCTCTTGAGTTAGATATATTATAATCATTTGTTTAGATTTATGTTTATTGATTTTTACTCCATATACAAAATCTTTATGTTGCATACACAGCAACTATTTCGTTTGTGTCTGGTTTATTTGTCATGATTTTCATATATTTCAATTTATCCTTCTAATTCAGTTGTTCACATGATGTTCACACTTCTTTCACATGTAAAAGTTACTTCACCATGAATTTTCAAGGCTTTGAAGTTTATCTTGCCCATTTTAATATACAGCTTAATTATTGTACATAGAGTAGAAGACTACACAGTTCAGGTTCCCAAGTACATACCTGTTTCTCCCTGAACATAAATGAAATAGATTGTTATTTCTTCCAGAGATGCATAACGCCAGCTCTTGAATAAATCAGTGTTCCATAAACGTGGATACATTGAAAGCTGTCTTCCTGAGGTTCATTTGTCATTTTCTCTATTTATGGGACAGTCTCATGAAAGGTGGAATGTTTTTCATGTACATTATGGAAGCTATCAGCCTTATTGCTTAGAGGATATTGAATGATGTTAGACTTTTATTATACTGTATATATATATATATATTTTAATGAATCAAAGATGCGTGTCATTTATAAGTGATACAATTTTTTTTGAAGTTTTCTTTTTTTGAGGGACTTTGAGGCAAGGTCTCACTTTGTATTTCAGATTGGTTTTGAACTTACTACGTAGCTGGCCTCAAACTCATGGCAATCCTCCTGCATCAGCCTTCCCAAGTGTTGGGATTATAGGCATATATGACTAACCTGGCTCAAATTTTCCTTTTGTGCCTAATTACATTGTGATATATTGATTTTAAATTCCTATAGTACATTTTGTTCATTTTCTTCCCCTCACTCCCCTCCCATAACTCTTAAGATTTTTTCTGAGTGCAAGGTGACACTGAACTGTTAGGTAACATGCCACTGTTGTAGTTTGCATCTAAATGTTCCCCCAAACCCTTATGAAGTCATGGGATTTTTCAGAGGTGGCTGGAACTAGAGTGTGTGGTGCTGGGGTTAAGGGTATGCAGTTACTAAATCAGTCCACTGATTGGTTTGGCACTACCCTAGTCTGTAAAATAAAAGAGGCAGAAAGGTGCTTTTAAGGTTCCCTTGTTGCTTTGCTACTTTGTGGGCTCCATGAACTATTCTCCTCTGTGATGCCTCTCTGCCATGTGCCACTCTGCCTTGGAGCCAGCCAACTGTGAACTGTAACCTCCATAAATTATAAGCCAACTAAATGCTTTCCCCTTTAGCTTTGAGTGTGAGGTATTTTTTCTTAGCAATGAGAAAAGTAGCTGAAGACAGCCACCCTTCCCCTATTCATTGTTCATAAAGTTGCTCTTATAAAATTTTTTCCAGTAACATTTTAGTAATTGTTTCATAAGCCTTATTTGGTGTTTTTTTTAAATTTGAAACCAAATTCAGGTTTCAAAATGCTAATTACAATCAAAGAAAGGACTCAATGCTATAAATAGTAAGATTTGAAAAATTATATTCCTGTGGTCTGTCACAACCATACATGAGATACTCATCTGCCCCAATGTTTTGTGGATGGTGATCTTGTAGGCTCCCTCTGTGAGCTCTGCTTTAGAAACAGTAAGTAGATACCCTTGCAGTGACTGAGCAAAAGAACCAATGGTCCTATTCTGCTGTTGCTTTAGCAGTGATTGACAATCTACCATCAGAATTTTTGTTGTTTTTGTTTTGTTTTGTTTTTTTCAAATAAATTTTTATTTAGTTGAATCATTATATTTTGGATTCTGTTACAGTATTTTACAGTCAATCAAACAATACAGAAGAAAACATTCTGGAGGTAGTGAATAGGGAAGGTTAAGAATTTGGTTTATTATAGTCAAGATTTTATTATAGTCACAGGGTTGGTAAAGGGTGGAAAGAGACCAAATGGTCATAGGAGGCATACTTTTAAAAAAATCTGTTACTGGGAACTGCAAAAGAAAGTGAGAAATTTCAGGTAGCTGGATAGCTGTATGTCCAGTTACAGTTGTGTTACTAAGAAGGAAAGCAAGAATGGATTTTGATGGACTGCTAGAAGTCTCTGCTACATTCTCTCTCTGTAATATTGGCATTATTCTCTCAAATATCCAAGTTGAATCTTTAAATTCATCCTCACTTTCTCTATCTCTCCCAGTCTTCCTTCTTCCACCTACCAAAGCAATCTGCATTTTTTTTTTTTTTTTTTTTTTTTTTTTTTTTTTTTTTTCCC